GCTCCCCCACGTACTCCAGCGTGCAATGCGCCACGCAGCCGTACTGCACGGCGCAGCCCAGCACGCCCAGCGCCCGCAGCAGGCGGCCCGGCCACATGGCGCTCGCCGCTCGGCGCTGCCGCTCCGTTCGCCCCCTCCGCCCCCCCGGTGAGTTGGCGCAGGGCTGGGCGTTCAGCGGCGGGCGCTTGGCACAACGGCAGGAGAGAGATCCACGGTCGGTCTGGCGGTGAACGGGCAAAGGCGAGAAAAAACGCGTCGTGATATTTTGTTTTTCATCGTCCCGAAAACGCGCCAAATATTTGGGAGCTTATTTTTTTTTTGCCAGTTTCAGAACGTGTAACACGTGTCTTACTAACACACACACACCTACACACAACGTGTAACACGTGCCCTGCTAACACACACACCTACACACAACGTGTAACACGTGCCCTACTAACACACACACACACCTACACACAGTGTAACACGTGCCCTACTAACACACACACCTACACAGTGTAACACGTGTCTTACTAACACACACACACCTACACACAGTGTAACACGTGCCCTACTAACACACACACCTACACAGTGTAACACGTGTCTTACTAACACACACACACCTACACACAGTGTAACACGTGCCCTACTAACACACACACCTACACAGTGTAACACGTGCCTGACTAACACACACACCTACACACAACGTGTAACACGTGCCATACTAACACACACACCTACACAGTGTAACACGTGTCTTACTAACACACACACACCTACACACAGTGTAACACGTGCCCTACTAACACACACACCTACACAGTGTAACACGTGCCTGACTAACACACACACCTACACACAACGTGTAACACGTGCCATACTAACACACACACCTACACACAGTGTAACACGTGCCCTACTAACACACACACACCTACACACAGTGTAACACGTGCCCTACTAACACACACACCTACACACGTGTAACACGTGCCCTACTAACACACACACCTACACACAGTGTAACACGTGCCCTACTAACACACACACACCTACACAGTGTAACACGTGCCCTACTAACACACACACCTACACACGTGTAACACGTGCCCTACTAACACACACACACCTACACACAGTGTAACACGTGCCCTACTAACACACACACCTACACACAGTGTAACACGTGCCCTACTAACACACACACCTACACACAACGTGTAACACGTGCCCTACTAACACACACACACACCTACACACAGTGTAACACGTGCCCTACTAACACACACACACACCTACACACAGTGTAACACGTGCCCTACTAACACACACACCTACACACAACGTGTAACACGTGCCCTACTAACACACACACACACCTACACACAGTGTAACACGTGCCCTACTAACACACACACACCTACACACAACGTGTAACACGTGCCCTACTAACACACACACCTACACACAACGTGTAACACATGACGCACTAACACACACACCTACACACAACGTGTAACACGTGTCTTACTAACACACACACACCTACACACAACGTGTAACACGTGCCCTACTAACACACACACCTACACACAGTGTAACACGTGCCCTACTAACACACACACCTACACACAACGTGTAACACGTGCCCTACTAACACACACACACCTACACAGTGTAACACGTGCCCTACTAACACACACACACCTACACACAACGTGTAACACGTGTCTTACTAACACACACACCTACACACAACGTGTAACACGTGCCCTACTAACACACACACCTACACACAGTGTAACACGTGCCCTACTAACACACACACACCTACACACAGTGTAACACGTGCCCTACTAACACACACACACCTACACACAACGTGTAACACGTGCCCTACTAACACACACACACCTACACACAACGTGTAACACGTGCCCTACTAACACACACACCTACACACAACGTGTAACACGTGCCCTACTAACACACACACCTACACACAACGTGTAACACGTGCCCTACTAACACACACACCTACACACAACGTGTAAACACGTGCCCTACTAACACACACACACCTACACACAGTGTAACACGTGCCCTACTAACACACACACCTACACACAGTGTAACACGTGCCCTACTAACACACACACCTACACACAGTGTAACACGTGCCCTACTAACACACACACCTACACACAACGTGTAACACGTGCCCTACTAACACACACACCTACACACAAGTGTAACACGTGCCCTACTACACACACACCTACACACGTGTAACACGTGCCCTACTAACACCCACACCTACACACAGTGTAACACGTGCCCTACTAACACACACACACCTACACACAGTGTAACACGTGCCCTACTAACACACACACACCTACACACAGTGTAACACGTGCCCTACTAACACACACACACCTACACAACGTGTAACACGTGCCCTACTAACACACACACACCTACACACAACGTGTAACACGTGCCCTACTAACACACACACCTACACACAACGTGTAACACGTGCCCTACTAACACACACACACCTACACACAACGTGTAACACGTGCCCTACTAACACACACACCTACACACAACGTGTAACACGTGCCCTACTAACACACACACACCTACACACAACGTGTAACACGTGCCCTACTAACACACACACCTACACACAACGTGTAACACGTGCCCTACTAACACACACACACCTACACACAACGTGTAACACGTGCCCTACTAACACACACACCTACACACAACGTGTAACACGTGCCCTACTAACACACACACCTACACACAACGTGTAACACGTGCCCTACTAACACACACACCTACACACCACGTGTAACACGTGCCCTACTAACACACACACACCTACACAAACGTGTAAACACGTGCCTACTAACACACACACACCTACACACAGTGCAACACGTGCCCTACTAACACACACACCTACACCCAAGTGTAACACGTGCCCTACTAACACACACACACCTACACACACAACGTGTAACACGTGCCCTGCTAACACACACCACCTACACACAGTGTAACACGTGCCCTACTAACACCACACACCTACACACAGTGTAACACGGGCCTACTAACACACACACACCTACACACAGTGTAACACGTGCCCTACTAACACACACACACCTACACAACGTGTACACGTGCCCTACTAACACACACACACCTACACACAGTGCAACACGTGCCCTACTAACACACACACCTACACACAACGTGTAACACGTGCCCTACTAACACACACACCCTACAAACGTGTAAACACGTTGCCCTACTACCACCAACACACCTACACACAGTGCAAACACGTGCCCTACTAACACACACACCTACACACACGTGTAACCGTGCCCTACTAACACACACACACCTACACACAACGTGTAACACGTGCCCTACTAACACACACACACCTACACACAACGTGTAACACGTGCCCTACTAACACACACACCTACACACAGTGTAACACGTGCCCTACTAACACACACACACCTACACACAACGTGTAACACGTGCCCTACTAACACACACACACCTACACACAGTGTAACACGTGCCCTACTAACACACACACACACCTACACACAGTGTAACACGTGCCCTACTAACACACACACCTACACACAGTGTAACACGTGCCCTACTAACACACACACACACTACACACAACGTGTAACACGTGCCCTACTAACACACAACACCTACACACAGTGTAACACGTGCCCTACTAACACACACACACCTACACACAACGTGTAACACGTGCCCTACTAACACAACACACCTACACACACGTGTAACACATGCTGTACTAACCACACACCTACACACACAGTGTAACACGTACCCTACTAACACACACACACCTACACACAAACGTGTAACACGTGCCCTACTAACACACACACCTACACACAACGTGTAACACATGCTGTACTAACACACACACCTACACACACAGTGTAACACGTACCCTACTAACACACACACACCTACACACAACGTGTAACACGTGCCCTACTAACACACACACACCTACACACAACGTGTAACACGTGCCCTACTAACACACACACCTACACACACAGTGTAACACGTGCCCTACTAACACACACACCTACACACACAGTGTAACACGTGCCCTACTAACACACACACACCTACACACAGTGTAACACGTGCCATACTAACACACACACCTACACACAGTGTAACACGTGCCCTACTAACACACTCAACTCCACTGCCGTTTTACCGGCAACACACCGGTGCCTGCGGCCTAGTACACCCAGTGAAGCCTGCCGCGCCTGCCGAGTAGGGCGTCGCTGATGCGGCAGTCCGTCCAGGCGAGAGGTGGTGGGAGGGGGGGGCGCTGCGGCGGTGGTGGAGTTAGCAGCACAGCAGCGAGCCCGTGGGGGTGGCAA